AATAGTTGACCTGGTAAGCCCAGCTCTCACCGATTTGTTGACCCTCAAACGGAGCTTTTGTGATTATCAGCTCTTCATGCTTCGAACCCCTTTTTCTTTGCATTCCCTCGTCTTTATTCTCTTGTTTCGGAAATCAATCACTCCCTTGCCAGCGTTATGCTCTCAGAGAGCTGAAATGCGAGTGCAGTACGGACTGTTACTGGTTCTCGGTCACCGGTCTGTTGGATTTTTCGATTTCCCTCAGACGCGCCCCTCGGTCGGTTGGGCGGGAGGTGGGCAACGCTGGGTTCGTCGTCCAAAAACAAAAAAAAAACAGAAGGTGAGTTGATATTAAGGAACCCCAACGTCAGTATTTTCAAACAAAAAGAGAAATGCGACAGTCTGCACCCAATCCCGTGGGAAAAGCTTCGAAAATACGAAAAAGAACTATCTCTACGCAGTTAAGTCTGGATTTGGTATCCCCTCAAAACTTACGGCTGGGTAAACTGACGCTAAGCGACAATAAAATCTACCTCAGGATGGGGAAGAATCTATCCGAGCCGCTCGATATCAAACGAGGTTGCATTCAATATGACTCCTGAACAGAGCAGGTAGAATCTTTCACACGAGTGTATAGCTGCTGGCGCGTATTCTTCTGCTTGATGAGTGATCGAATCGTACGGTCCTGGTTGTGAACGAGGGCAATATATACTTGGCTCCCACGTCACTGTTGACATTGACAGTAATAACTTTGAAGTTGTAGATAACTTCGTCTATCTAGGAACCAGAATTAATACCAATAATAACGTCAGCCTCGAAATCCCGTGCCGAATCACTTTTGCCATTAGGTGCTGAGGACTGTGCAGGCATTTGAAATGTAAAATCCTCCACCAACGAATGAAGACCAAACTCTACAAGTTCTTCAGCGTTCCCGCTCCGCTATATGGGTTGGAGGCATTGCGCAAGATTTATGGTCCTTTACGAATTAGGAACCGCGACTTATTTTCGCAATCTTTCGAGTGCTTGGTGATAGTAGACTTGACTTACGGTTTGCCCCGGTGTAAGAAATTCTTTGACGAACGGGACGAGCGGCTATCAAAAAAAGGCAATAATCACACAATAATGACGAGCACCACCAAAACACGTTTACTCAACACGACACAGCGACAGGCGAACTAAAAAAGCTAAAGCGATGGCAAGTAATGGAGAGGAGAAGGATACCGGAATAAGGGAAAGGGAAGGTCGCAGGGCCTACGTCTATGAGAAAGATGAAAAGAGAGTTAATGTTGCGGCTTCAAACAGTTTCGGTGGTTAGCATTCGTCGCTGCCAAATCAAGTTCACGGTTCGAGTCATGTTTCTACCAACATCCCAAATCCGGGTGTATTTCTGTCATGAAAAATCATCAGCCGTTCAGAGGCGGCTTAGTATGAACTGAAAGTTCGTCCATTTGTAATAAAAAAAATTGTCCTTTATATATATGTATATAGTAATGCGGTTGCATTCCTTAACTGGATTTAGCTGGTAGAAATTCCAATTGCAATACCTGCCCGTCCCAACTCGCTCTTTTATTCCAAAGGAATGGGAAGAACAGCTCATCGGAGATTGTCCTCTTCTTCCTGTAACAAGGCCCTTTGAGGCCACACATCCCTTGAACTCACTTTTCCATCAGCTAACCATGATTTCATGATGAATATTTTGAGCTTATGTGGACTGTAAAGAATACCGTGAAAGAGGAAGGTCAAATTACAAATACCAAGAAGTCTCCGCCACCTCCTAGTGCTTGCTTCACTGAACTCAGACAAACAGTTAGACGCAACCTCCCTTTTCTCTTCTTTCCACGCACGAACAAGGCTGCTGGCCAATGTGAAACCTACTCAGCTCAGCTCTTAAAGCATTATACAAGCACTTATATAATAATAATGATTTCAAATGTAGTATTTATGGAGTGACTGTGTTTATTGTTGTATTACTTTTATTTATTTTTGATCTTACAAAATGTAAACATGTCACTGAAACCGTTAGACGACAATACTATTTACTCCGCCACAAATAGAAGAAAGCCCAAACATGCATACATACAACGCTGAAACTCGAGGCCATGCAGCCGCCGATGCGACTCACATTCAGCACATTATGTCGTCTTCAGTCATATTCACATTCCACTCGGTGCCACACACACAGCACAGCAAGTGAGTGCAACATTTAAGTGCAACATTAGTAAACAGCGCACGAGTAAACAGCAAAAATGCGTAGGTAAATCAATAGAGTTCGAGTATGTGAGTGTGTGTGTAAGTGCGTGTGTTGACGTAAGCCAACGGTCCAATCTATCCAGCCATCCAACCAGCCATCAAGCCATCCAACCGTTTATTCATCTATCAGCACACACAGCTCAATCAAAGGTAAGCCAGCCGTTGGTGGAGAGCTGTTGATCAGGTGCTGAGGGGACGGCGATCATATTTTATGTACTCGTACCTCGTAAGCTAGAAATGGCTGTAACTACCGCACAGAGTTCTTAAATATGCCACAAACGTGTATGTCTCTTGGATGTGCGTAAACGCATCGTTTGGCTTGACTTGGCTTGCCTTGTCTTGTCTTGGCGTCACAACGCACAGCACAGCACAGCAAAGCACATCACATCACATCAGAGACATCACATTCATATGCAACCGCACTTTACCTTCCTTGGATTGAACTGGCACTCTGCCTGGAATGCTTTTTGTCCATTTAAGTGCATACATTTACTAACAGTGCAACGACAACGACGACGGCGGTCAAGGCGGCGGTGGTGGTGGTGGCGGTTGCTTCGTCAGCCGTATTTGCAGGCAAACTTAAAGCACAACAACAAAAAGCGGTTACAATTCTAGGCAAGTGACATTTCTTCAATTCAACATTGCCATTTCAGTTATTTTCTATCGACGTGCCGAACTTCACCTCGGGATGTGGTACGGTGTGTGGAGCTTTGGTTGGCAGTTGGAGTCCATGTGTCGTCAGATTTAGAATGCCGTAGATGACAGGCGGTTGCGTGCAACGACCGCTGCTGTAGTCATCTTTTATTGTTGTTGCTGCAGCTGTTTGCGCTACTCGTGTTACTATATTTGGTCCATCGTTTTGTCGATATCTCAATGGCTCCCCTTGATTTGCAGCGTGCCTGCGCTGGCACAGTGACAACTGTACAATCGTTATTTGGGTTTACATTAAATCTTGCTGTCGTGTTGGTAGAGTCTATCTATGAAGCGGTTTGTAGGTGTGTGGCTACATACGGTACGGCTAACATTACAAAGAGTTAGTGTGTGTGTGTGTGTGTTTAAGGAAACTACCGAGGGTTCTTGCCAATTCCCGTGTTATAATTTATATTAATTGATAGCCCCGTCGGAGCTTACCGTCCAAATGGCTAGTCCGCCTTGGGATATTTTATGTTGGACGAAGAGGAGAGGTGTGTCTCGCTCCTATGTAGACAAAGCTACAAATGAGTGCTGACAAATGTACCGAGAACCACGCTTTGTGAACGTGCTCCTTGGGAATCTGGTCGCTTAATTGCATATAAGTCCCTGATCAGCTGGTTGAGTTGTTCGCGGCTGTGCCTTAAAGATTGGCGATTGTTGTTATCAGAACGGCAGAAGATAGGTCTCTACTACTAATATCAGAGGGAATTAACAAAAGTTCGGTCAGTTGGTGATTTGTTAATTATAAAAAGACGAGATTCTTCGCAATTACCTTAACAGTCTTCCTTACAAATTTTAGAACGATCGGTTAAAATGGAGAGGAGAGAACGTAATTACATAAGGGACGAGTGCCTCGTCTTTGAGGTCTATTTCTAAGTGGCTCCGAAGATTCCATACCGAACATTTTTCCATAGAGGGCGAGTCAGAGAAGATCGACCAAATCTTGGTTCTATAAGTACGATTTATAAGTACGATCCAGAAACCAAACAGCAGTATATGGTATGGAGCCCTGCTGAAATAACGAGTAATTTTATTTCGATCCCTGGGATCGAAAAAATACATCCAGCGTAGACACGACAAATGCGGTGCCCACAGAAATCGTGCGAGAAGTACCCTTGTGAAAATGGAAGTTCTATTTTTGAAGTTCAAAAGAGGTGCTGTTTTTTGATTCGCTGATCTAACTCTTAAAGGAGCATAAATCAGGCGCTATACCTTTTCTCGAAAACTCTTAAACGCCGATGTTGTCATCATCCATGCCTCCGCACCATATAGTAGAGCGGGAACGCTTAGGCAATTCTGATTCTGTGTAGGATTTCTAGCTGGAATTGTTGTTGGTATTTATGATGGTTCCAAGATAGACGAAGTCAGCTACGACTTCAAAATAATGACTGTCAACAATGATCTGGGAGCCGAGTCGCGGATGTGACGGCTGTTTCTTGTGTAGAGAAAGCAGAACTCACCGTGCGGTTGTTGATGCCAATGATGGCAATATCATCGATGTACTCCTCCAGCAGCCATATGCTATGAAATCTCGTTTGGTATCGAACGGCACGGAGAAGTCCCTCCCGATCATTTCGGAGGTTTTAGTGTTACTTAACGTCGTGACGTTAGCCGTACAAGTTTTGCGAGGATACTGGTTTGAACTGACGAAGAGGAGAGGTATGTCTACGATTTATCTTTCATGGGGCAATGGTTGATTTAAAAGGCCTAAAGCCAAACTGTTAAGGTCCAATTAGTTTGTTGATGATTCGATTCGATTTAATCTTTGACACAATAGGCTCGACAGGACCTTATATGCGATATCAAGGAGGGATCGCCCTTCACGGTTCTATAATGTATAACGGTGTTGAGTGAGAGACTTTCAGTCGAGCGGCTATACTCTGTGGTATCGAACAGAGTTTTTTATGTCAAATACTCCCTTACTGCTGGAACTAGATGGTTGTTTGGCTTTCGATTTTTGACAGAAAAAATAGAGACACTAAATTTATTGAAAATCAATCATTTTTATGTTTTTATTTGAAAAACAAAACATTTATTCTTGCTTACATACATATATTATACATAATATTATTTCTCAAACATATTGAAATTGAAAACCGCTTCCAATGAAGCAAATTGAAATTTAAAAAAAAATAAAAAGTAAATTCGGCTCTCAGTTCGTCTCTCCATGATTTTTAGCTTAAACTTTTACGGCTTACTAACACAAATCTTGCTTGCGCTTTTATATACTTGTATGTAGATATGTACAGTAAATAGGAAAATATTTCAACTAAAATTATCAGTATTTGTACAAATCGATAAGTCTTTCGAATGAAAATTTTCTTACACGCTGAATTTGATCATGAAAAATCATCTATTGAATTTCAGTTATTAAACACGAAGATTCGAAATTCTATTCTCAAAAGCTGCGTCATTTTGTTACTGTCAGATCGCTCGCTACTCGCTCCCTTTTCTTGTCTGGCAGCACTGCTGCCAATGCGATCAACACCGCAATGAGCGCCACAACGCCCCACAGTAAAATATTACAATGCGTGAAGAGGAAGGTGCCGATAATATTGCCACCGGCGACAGAACCCAAACGCCCAATCATCATGGCGAAACACATGCCCATGGCATTGATCTGAGCTGGATAGAACTCAATCGCTATCGTACCTATAATGCCGCCACAATTGCCGACGCTCATGAGTAGCGTTAAAACGATCACGATCGCAGCGAATTCGGAGATCCAGTGCATGATGGCGGCACAAACGCAGGCGACCACAAGCCAAATCACTGCAAATATAGAACACCCTATAAACACGGTCTTAGAATATGGGATATATTTACTGTTAACTTACTCAGTAAATTCGATTTGCCCACTATATCGATGGTATAAGCGAATATGATGAAGACCACTGTGAAAACGGCACCGATCATAATCAACACTTCGAACATGAAATAATCCAATAATTCGGTACAAGAGTTGACTGTTTTGGCTGTTGTTACATCCATGTTTCCTATTATAGTACATACCTTGAGATCTTGGTCACTTTTGCGTATGAGTTCGTTGAGAATTGTAGGGAACCTAAAAATTAGTTGAGAACACTCATTAAATATAAAATTCTGATGTCTCTCAGATTTAAATTGAAAGTTTAAGAAATTTAAGAAGTTAACCATGCACAGGAAACGCTTTTGAACCATCAAGGCCTATATCTTGACGAGGAAGACGAAACTTTTCCAATTCGACCCACCAACCTTAACTTCAAAGTACCTTCCACTTCGATATCTCGAAGTTATTCTTATTCTTAATAAAAAAAGGCACATATTGAGAGTAGGAAAAACATAGAACTTGGAATTCCTGCAGTAACTTTGCAGCGCTACAATGAGGCCTACGACCCCAAATCGAGCGCTGTCTTTTGAACACATTTCGTGTGATCCATTTTAACAAATAGACCTCAGTATGGTTCGGCTATTCGGTTATGGCAATTCAATCGAGCAAGCTGTTCGAAAAACACACATGGAGTAAATAGGAAAGCACAACGGGCCTACTCAATGGCTTAGGTACGGCGTGCTGCGTTCAGGTCTTTAGTGTCCCTTTCCAACCAACAAACCGTCTCCAAGTTAACCACTAAGGGATATATTTGCCAGCGCTCTAGCTTATTTAGTTTGCCTGCTATGTCGTGTTGAGTAAACGCGTGTTCGTGGTGTTCGTCACGAAAATGAAAAAACGAAATCAAAAACAACGCGTCGCGATCCAATTTTTCGACAAATTGGGCGAAACAGCTTCGGAAACGTACACTAAAATTGTAATAATACATGATGCTAGTGCTCTTAGTCGTGCCCAAGCTCACAGTGATTGTCTCCGCACACCCGCCGCCCGCCGCCCGATAATTATTACTTTTTTTGATAGCCGTTCGTCCACAGAGAATTTCTTCCACCGGTTCAAACCGTAAATCAAGTCTACCATCGCCAAGTACTCGAAAGAGTGCTAAATCGAGTCAACAGCGTTCATCTCGAAAACGCGCGGTGCCACACCACCTTCAGCGCGTCCCAATATTTGGCCTCTAAAGGGATGGTCGTGTTGCAACAACCGCCTTATTCGCCCAATATATCACCCTCTGCCTTTTTTTTTTTGGTTCTCTAAAACAAAATCTGTGGTCAAAGGAACCCATTTTGAGTCGATTGAGGACATCCAGGGCGACTTTGACGAAGGTACTCGCGGACATCCCAGTCGAAGCGTTCCAGAAACGTTACGAAGCATGGAAATCGTACTGGAATGGCTGAGTTGTAGAATAATTGTGTTTCACTACTTAATACACTTAATTACAAATGTCGGGTCCCCTTGCAACCATTCAGATTCCACCCTAAGTTGAAGAACGACAAGCCCATGCACATGCATGGAGAGAGACGCGGAAGCAAAGTGCTCTTTCCCATACATGATTGGGAGGGAACTGCTTAGCTATCACGTGATTTGCGCAGCTCTCTTCTTTTACCGGTTTCAGTGCTACAGATTCCATGGCTCTTAATACGGCCAGAGAGCAACACCTTTTACAAATAACAGCCTCAGGTATTGCAGCCAATTCCGTCTGGAAAATATTACAGTGAATCAGGAAACTAAGTGTTTTTATAACACCAAGCTCTCGTTGGTTGACTCCTCTACCAAATCTCTCTTTTATTTTTTTGGCCCTTCCGTATAAAAATGAATCTAGTCTAGATTTGCTGGTACTAACATTTTCCCATTCCCATTTTTCTCTGCGGTGACTCAACAATATACAATAGAGCTTTGTTCCAAACGAAGTCCTTATTTACTGCGAGCCACAGAAATCGATGAGGCTAGTGGACAGTTTGCCTAACAGATCAAAAAATTATATTATTGAACCACAGCTTTGGAGGAAACCCATCCCGAAGCAAAGTTCCTTGCAAGTAAAACCATTGGTTTTATATGAGAAAACAATTATTGAAACCTTGGAATAGATGAAACTGGTGAAGATAAATGTTTCTATTGAAAAGAGTCGGTAGCAAATCTGCAGTTATTAAAAATGTTAAAGATAGGTTCTCCTCTTCATCCAGACATTGTAGAGAGCTCCTAGTCACAGCTTAGTATGTTACTTGTGGTGTAAGAATAGCGGGTCAGGTGCGAGAGTCGCACGAAAACGCGTTAGCGGTTTCTAAGCATACAAAGAAGAAGAAGAAAAAGAAGAAGAAGCTTCCATGAGCGCCTATAATGTAAATGAAACAAAGCAATTATTTTTTTCCTCATTAATGAAGCGATAATGCCCATTCTAACAAGGTGTTTTATTCTTATACCTCCGGAAACTTTACCGTAAACCAGTGTCTCACCGAAAGTTTTTGAGACCATCTCTCTACCTCCCTACCACCAATTGAAAGCCTGAGTTTATTAAACATATAAACTTCTTCAGAGTATAACACTCGTCTTTCACCGTTGGGATCTCTAAATGTTGTAACCTTATCTGTAGGACATAATGTAGATTCATTCTTGAGGGATGTAGCCCGACTTTCAAGTTCGTTTCGCCTAACTTTAAGCACAGTGTTGATGAGGTTTTAGGCCCGCGTGTACTTGATAAAATACTAGGTGAAAGTCTCGGCTGATCTTCCAGTTAGCTCTTGGACGGTTGAAGACCCAAGACTACCAAACTTAAATTGGCTTTATTTATCTCGGATATATCTGATTTGTTTCAGACTGAATGAGTTTGAGATTTTCTTGGCTTGAGCGGATAAGACTGTGCTAAAATTGAAAAAAAAAAAATATGAAGCAATAGTGTGGGTTGGTGGACTAAGTTGGTTCAGTACAAATAGATATGTGAAGAATCAGTAAGGCAAGCCGGGATCATATGGATCTATTGCCCTCTTTGCAGCATTCTTGGGATTGTATTGAACAGAACTGATTAAACCTCAACTATAGTGAACTAGTTATCGTAGGCCTCAATCTGAGTCTTTTTTTTTTTTTTTTTTTTTTTTTTTTTTTTTTTGCATCGGATTATTATTAAGCTCAGATACTCACCACATGAACAGGCCCTGCGATATGCCATAGATCGAAAACAGCGAAAAGCAAATGTTGAAGGTTTGCAGCACACGTTCCTTATAAAACAGCGGCGTCGTTTGACTCCAGATCATCTTGAGAGCATCTTTGACGCCATGAATATTTGACAAATCAGCGCCGCCTGTTTGCAGCACTATACTCTTAACAGGAAAATTCTCCGGCTTATCGCCCGTATTCATAGCATAAATACGACGCAGCACAGCCAGAGATGCATCGTGACTGCCATGCACCAACAAATATTTCGGTGTTTCTGGCAAAATGCTCAAACCGATTAGGCCAGCAAATGAGATCAGCATGTTAACGGCGAAGAAGAGACGCCACGAAGCGAATTTTATGCCCAGTAAAACGAAGTCAATTTGTAGCGGTAGAATGACCAAAGCCATGGCTGGAAAGGAATGTAAATTTCATAATCCTACATTGTGCGTTAACATACATACAGTGCTCTCACACAATCGCTTACCTGGCATAAACATGAGTGCGAATGGCAAGAAGATCGCCAATAGCGTTACATAACGTACACGTGTTCGATTACTATGAAACTCGCCACACAAACTGAACACGCACGCCTGACAGCCGGATATGAAAAAGCCATTGAGAAAACGGAATGCAATTAACATCCAAGTGTTGACGGAGAACGCGGAGATAATCGTTGCTGTGGCGGCTAATACCAACGAATATCGCAACGTTCTAACACGTCCCCACGTATCGGCCAGAAAGCCCATCATATGCGAACTGAGCACAATACCGAAGAAGCCCGCCGAGGCAAGAAGGCCCTGCTCGGTCTGCGTTGCGGTGAGATCACATTTAATCAATGGCATTATCATACCGACACCCATCGTCTCGGCCATTACGGCCATAAAGCAAAAGCCACAAATCAAGGTGAGTACATAATGAAAGCGGCCAACTTGCGTCAGCTCCAACGCCTCGTCGAACGTATGTGAATCCAATTCGGTATTGTCATTCTGCTTTTTCGTGCCTGCAATGAAAGCAAACGAGAGAGAGAGAGCGAGAATGAGGATTTGTCAATCAAGTGTCACAAAATAAATTCATTTAATATGATTTATTGATTTATGCTAATTAAACTCGTGGGAAAATTAATTTCAAATTTGCTTAAAAAGCTTTGCAGAATCAGACTGTGGAACAGTAGTTCTCGAGCTTCATAATAAATATAATATAATGGAAAACACCTCTGCAGGTGCACAATCAAAAGATCCTGCTGAAACTGAAGAGTCACCGGCAGCGACAAACTTTTACGATACAAAATTATTTCGTTGGTTTTCGCTTTTTCTCTATCTCGGTGGCATAAGTGGTCTTGGTATGGTTTTATCACTTTACTATTTGCTCTTCTTCGACTCCAGTATGCCGGATATACATTTAAAGTTTCCGGTGTCAATAGATGGTAAACCTGTGCAAAAGGTTCAAACCTATACATGAGGCGATCATTTATGTATACAATGTGGTGAAGGACATGAAGCGAGGTAAGTGCGCTTAGAAATCGACAGCTCTAAAAGTGAGAGATCTGCAGTGAAGAATAAAAAATTGCAGAGCCTTCCCTCCAGTGGACTTTTAGAGTCAAGTAAAGCAGCTGAGTTATGACAATTGACTCAGTAGTCGAGTTTTATTTCAGAGCTTTATAATTCTTGGACGTCAAGTCATTTATTACAAGTTTCGAGGTAGCTGTCCGCGGTGCTACGAGATCGACGAGCTAGCTAGCAGAATAACGGTAAGCTCTGCATAGAACATGATCATACCTTCGTCAAACTACCAGCTAAATTCGGCCTTCACCATTAGGGCCAAAGGTTACAGAAATAGATCTGGCCAAGTATTTACATCTTCTAAACAGGATCACCCTGAGCTTAGCAATAAGTGTAGCAAACGGACACTCTCGATGGGAACTCATGATAGAAGGATGGGTTACTTCTTTCACAACTTCTTACCTCCAGCGTGCGGATATCTCTGCACAGATCCTCCATTCATGTTTTAATGGGTCCGCAAGCCGAATTGCGCTTAATTAGTGTTCCGTGAGGTCTTGTTTTGCCTTGAACATGAGACGACTGCGATTAGTGGCAGAGACCAAATTATTGTAAATTATCTATCTACTCTATCAACTCTTTGAAATTATCTTTTGCTCTCTCCGCACACAAACCTCATAAGGTGGCACCCACAGACAAAGATAAGAGGAAGCAGAAGCAAAGTCCCAGCATGTCGTATCCACTTAGAAAAGGTAGTGAAAGCGATCTTTCCTACGCAAAAACCACAATCGAGTAGAAGGATACCCGCAGAGATGGAAGCGTACACAATAGACGAGAAGGAACTAATTAGAGTGACGGAGAGTGTCGACAATGCAAAGGCGCCTGGACTTAATGGGATTCAAAATAAGGCATTTAAAATCGCCATCGAACATAGAAAGCGGGTTTCCAATGAAAATAAATTCCCCGGGGTAACTGCTGAGGATAATTGATAGCTACCTGTCGGGCAGACTGCTATTGTATGATTCCGAGTCAGAGCCAAAAACCTACGCAGTGACAAGAGGCGTACCACAGGTATTGGTACTGAGTCCTCTGTTGTAGAGTGTACTATTCGATGGGGTATTCCGTCTACTGCTACCAAAAGTAGTTCAGATAATAGGCTATGTGGACGACATCGTTGTGGCTTACCCAAATTCAGAGTACCTGAAATGAGGCCAAAGCAAAGCTTAAGAACTGGCTCATGACATCTAGCTCACAGCTTGCACAACTTGAAGAAGTCACCCTGGGCACCTATATAGGGGACAGTGTCAGAAAACATAACCCAATAAGGTTAAGAACCTTCAAGCCTGCATTGAGTGAGAACACGAAAGGAGAGACTTCTACGTGACACAATTCTTGTCAGGTCACGGCTGTTTCAGTGATTCGGCCACAATGCCGGGACTAACTGTTCTTTCTGCAGCAGTGCCGCAGAAGATACAGTGTTTATCTTTTGCTCCAGCTCAAGATATGAGGTGGAGAGATCTACTGTTGAGCACATAATAAACGAAAGGATGACGCCTGAGGGTTTAGTTATCTCAATTCTTAATTCAAATGGGAATTCAGCTGTTTTAAAAAGTTCAACCATTCGCGTGCAGTCTCATTAGAAAGATACAACTTATTTTATTATCTTTAAATATTTTTCCAGACACGTGGAATGTAATTATTCTTTCAGAGTTGATCTTTCCTTCTTAACTTGATTTACTCCGGCATAAAGCGAATCCTCAAAAACGCTGAGCCAAAGATGATTTTCTTGCAGAGTATCGAAGAATGAGTCCATATGCCATCACGCACAACAATTCGAGCTCTGCCCATCCACTTTATGGAAAATTTTGAGGAGGGATCTTGGTTTGCGGGCTTACAAAATCCAACCGGTGTAATAACTGAAGTCAAACGTCCCTTAAGCGCATCGCACGTTCGGTGGAATTGGACAAAGAAAGACCCTGGTCCACTTTTCTTTAAAAATGAAGATGCCCATAATGTAACAGTCAATTGAGAACACTAACTATAGAGCTTTGATTAATAACTTTTTCGCACCCGTATTGGAGGAAGTTGATGTTGTCGACCATTGGTTCCCACATGACATAAAGCCCACGAACGAAGCGTTTAAATTATTTAATAAAACTTTTGGTGAGCGCATTATCTCACGCCGTGGGCCGGCAGCGTGGGGTTATGTGAAGAGAAGCGACCTATGCCGATAAGCCCGAGATGATTGACGCCTTTGAAAAAGAATATTCGGCGCGTTATCGCTGACCACCACACCCATTGCTGCAAGAAGTGGTCAAAAGTTGGGTCCCTCTCCCGGAATTTATTCGAGCGGCGGTCACTTGCCCGATATTATTTTTAAAACAAAATAAAAAACTCTTGTCTTTATAAAATTCTATATTCTGGACCATAACATTGTATTACAAGCGCCTTGTTTCCAGATAGACGGCCAGGCTAATTACAGACGTGAAGCTTTGGACACAGAAACTTCAGTGAGTTGAACTATTATATCTCCCATATGATTTCTGGACACTGTTATTTCCGGAATTACTTACAAAAAATTGGCAAAGCAGAAGATCTGCTCTGCATATACTACGACGCTACCGAAGACAGTATTCAGCACACATTTTTCAAAAGCAAAAGATGGCAAACGAATCAAGAGGCACTGGCAAACGTGGTATAACCTCGGAACGCATAAAACATGGTACCCGTAATGCTTCAGAGCGAGGCTAACTGGAAAAAATATAGCACATTACGCAGAGTATGTACTGTGCAAGAAAAAGCGGCATGTGGACGCAGGTTCTGAGATGTAAATCTCAAGACGAGAAACATGGAACGCCACCTTAAAGTAATACGAAAGCGGTTCCGGGGTGGGTGACGATTCCTCAGGTCAGAGGAGAGTTTTCTAGTGACCTGCAAGTGGCACATGCCATTGTTGTGATGACACCATGATGATGTGGAAGGCACTTTCCTTCTCCTCACCCGCAAAAAAAAACGTTTTGTTCCTTCTTGGAAACTACATGTCTGAAAAACACATTCTCTATCATCAATGCGATCCTTGCTTTCGATGTAAAAGAAAGATAAATTTGGTTTTGGAACCGATGAAATGATTTACTGTCGAGTACATCCTTCAATTTATTTACTCTAGGCGGACGCAGTAGTCGAGTGGTTAGCATTGCATACTGCCATTCGGAAGGCTCGGGTTCAAATTCTGATCCAAAAGTTATAGATAATTAATTTTAATAAAAAATTAAGTTACATTTTCTAATGGCGGTCGCCCCTCGGCCTGGAATGTCAACCCCTGCGAGTGTATTTATGACACGAAATAAAGTTCCTCGTAATAAAACGATCAGCCGTTTGGAGGCGGCTTAGTATAAACTGTAGTCCTTCCATTTGTTACAAAGACATTAAGACGCAAAACCACAAATTGGAGGAGGAGCTCGGCCGATAATCGCTTCAGCGGTTACAAAACGCCATATATATATATATATATATATATGCGGCATTCGTGAGGTGTAAGAGCAGGAGGTGTAGGACCTTTTCCATTCATGTCTAAAATACACGCGGAGGGATTGACAATCTCTGCCGAGTCGGGATTGTGATTATAAGACTCCTTTTTCATAATTTTGAAAGCTGGTTCGAACTCATTACTCCCGTACGTGTTACCACTCGGCTCTTACGAGCCGTTTCGTTGATTGATAATGCAGATTTACTCCTCATAATCAACTGCTGCTCCGAGTCTTCATCCCACTGAAGTGTTCTTCTTAAAAATCATAGAAAATTATCGAAATATACAACGGATTTTCAATTGACTCACTAATATCTCAATTAAATACCTTCCATAAGAGTTCAGCTTTAACGAAATCTTCTCGCTGCATAAGCCACAGTTTTTATTGGTCTTTAAGGCCCAGGACGACGTAGCAGCACCACCGTCAAGTGTTGTTAGTATTACATAATAATATAATTACAGCACCACTTAAAATCTTCTACTCATTTGCAAAAGCAAAAGCAATCAAATGACACGCAAATTAAATTAATTGTTAACAATAAAAACAAATTATAACTTAGACGCGATACTAAATTAAATGAGCCACTAATGGGCGCCGCGACGCTTTAGGCGCTAATATCACAGTAATTTGTCATAAATATATTTTACTAGGAGAGAAACCATCCAAGTATGATTTTAAGCTTATGTTTTCTTATAAATCTGCGATTATTTATTTTTTTGTTGCTATTCGATTCACCGCACTCGATGGTAATAAAATGAGAATTAAGCGACAGCTGTGCGACAGGGCGCAAACGAACGATGTATGCTAATGTATGTATGTATGTATGTATGTATGTCGTTACATACGTTAAGTTGGCAAACATTTAAAGACGGCTGCTTATAGAACCATGTGAGCAAGAGGGAATACCAAAAAATTTTATACATTGAATATATATTGAATATATACATATATAAGTACAGACAGAAGAGCTACCCGGCAAGAAACAGAGAAATGAGTAAATAAATTAAGTCTGCTTACTTTTTATCATAGAGTGGGCGGTATCTCAGCCAAACCTGGACGAATATTGGGTTTCAAGTGCTCAAGAGTTCAAGGTTTATCCACATAAGCACGGTTTTGCGGAGGGCGACGCAAAACCCTCCAAAAAAAGAGTTCAACCTCGTCAAATCGTACTATCTCGATAGCCAATTCAGATCGACAAGCCGAGAGATTATGTGGACGGTAAATTTCTCTGGCAATAAAGTCATACTCGCTTGTGTTGTGTGGCATGTGGCACCATCTTGTTGTAACCACATATTTTTCAAGTCGTGTTCTTCAAATGCAGGCTTTTAAAAAGTAAAAGGTTACTATAAGTCCAAAATGCTCCAATCGCTCGGCGTTTTCATTTTCAAGGAAGTAAGGTCCATTTAATTCTCCGGACCAAAGAGCGCACAAGAGTGTAATGCTTTTTGGGATAAATTCAATTATTTGAGCATTGGTTCGAAAAACCGTTGCCCATTGCTTGTGGTCCAAGCATCCAATCGACATATTTACGGCGTTGTGAATGGTCCACTGGTTCAGCTGTACTGGAACACTGTTTTTGTCACTTGAAATTATTGATAATTTTTGTTTGCCACTGTACCTTCAATAAAAGTATTTCTGACCTTACATTGGGGCCAAAAAGTTTCCGAAAATAATTTTTTTTTTCGATATACGCGGTTTGATGCCTCATGACTGCGTTCCAACGGGACACACGGTCAAAATAAAAATTATTATTTGAGCGTTTTGCTGAAGATAATACGCCATTGCACCGAGCTGTAGTTGCGAACGATTTCAACACCAAATACTCGCTCAATACCATCTTCACCGGATTTGGCCCCATACGATTTTTTTTATGTTTCCAAAACTCAAGTTATCACTCCGTGGAACCCGACTCGATTGAAGCCGCAAAAGTGAATTTGCAGAGCAATGGTAATTGAGGACAGTGTTGCCAACTTAACAAAAAAAGTGCTGAAAAATATTCAACGCGGGCACTTTAAATGACAATTTCCGGAAACTTTCTTGCCTTAATGTCAATTCATTTCGCTATTTCTTGGATGGGGTGAAAAGTAAATGATTAAAATTTTTGTTTTACTCAAACAAATGGTGTGACAAGTGCGAGTTCTAGTCTAACCACCCTATCCACTACTCAAACTTGTCTTCGGTATAAGATCTATCCATCATAGCGTCGACTTGCCTGCGCCAAAACCTCCAAATCGATCAGAAAGGCTGGACGGATTCAGGGGAAGCACGATTTTTGTATCTAAAAATGAAATTACCAAAACTCAGCGAGTCGAAAATTAGGGCAACTAATAAAGGACAGGAACTTTAAAGAAAAACTGAATGACCATGAAAATTTTGCACAACAATATCTTGTGAATATTGCCCAGAACTTCCTTTGAGGTGATAATTTTGGACTACACACTTTGAGGCGACCACAAACTCGTCGAGACCTTGACTTGAATTGAACCATCGGAACGACCACTCGCATATACATATTCTTACATACTGTACGAGGTGTGACAATTAAGTAATGAGACCGATTCCATATAAACCTTATATTTCACAATTATTCTACAACTCTGCCATCGCCTTCAAAGTAGTCCCCTTGAGCAGCGGTTCCAGCGCTCTTTCCATTTCTCGTAACATTTCTGGAAATCTTCGACCGGGATGTCCGTGAGTACCTTCGTCACGGCCGCCTGGATGTCCTCAATAGACTCAAAGTGGATTTCTTTAACCAACGATTTTATTCCAGGGAACAAAAAAGGTCACAGGGTACCATATCGGGCGAATAAGGCGGCTGTTGCAATACGGCGATCCCTTTAGAGGCCATATACTGGGAGATGCTGAGGGCGGTGTGGCGCTTTGTTTCACACAACTTTCGCATCCCAAAATCGTCGGTTAGAACTTGTCTGTCTGTTTCATGGCTCATATCCAGTTCCGACGCCAACATTCGAACGTCGGTCTTCATGGATTAAAGCGCGCACACGCTGCACATTCGTTTCTGTCCGCACCTCGACTGTAATTTCAAGGTCGCAGGGTTACCACAATCGCGGCAATATGATCATTACTTCATTGTCACACCTTGTATTCGCCGAGTTCACGTATTCCTCCAGCTTAGGAAGCGCTATATAACTATCTACTAACCTCGGCCGTCGCGGTAGCGACCAATATCCAAAACTTATAGAAAATATATTTAAATAAAAAATTAAGTTAAATTTTCTAATTGCGGCAAATTGTATATCTCAGAAAATATAAATAACACTTTCCTTAAAGGTCTGCTCAAGGTCACATATTAAAAAACATAGGCACTCTCCTGTGACACATTTCTCTTTTTCGTACTATTTACGTGGGGATCAACAAAAGTTCGCTAAGTTGACTAGAAATATATATATATATTCTTTTTGCATTTATACGTAATCTTTGTCCTTTTTTAACTTCTCTGCACCAACGCTATTAATTTCAAAGCATTTCTTAAGCCCAAAGATCTGAACTGCTAAAAACTTTCCTCCAAATCTCGGTTTTTAAGCTTATCAAGTTCAGTATTAACCACATTAGTTATCTCCTCACTGCTATTAAAGACATTTTCTTTTAATTATTTCTTCTAATTTCTTTAATTTCTGGAAATAACCAGAATTCAAAATGTACGGAGAATATGGGCAGGACGTATTTCTTCCAGTCCAGAGATCATAATAAAATTACTCGTTATTTCAGTAGTGTGGGATGGCGCGTTGCTATGATGTAAAAATCAGCGCCGCAAATCCTGCTTCTTCCTGTTTTCCAAAAAATTTTTGAAAACTTTTGGTAAGCATTCTTCGATTCACCATTTTGAAGTTATCGTCTGACCTTTTTTCAGTGGTATAGGAGCTACGATTC